ATATATATACCTATTAATTGAGCAATGGAACCTTTGAATTGAGTAAGTACTTGTGGTACTGGAACAGTAACAATAACAACTTCAGCTTCATCTAATTTTTCTTCATTAGTTGATATTGCACATTTATTATTGGTTGAATCAAGATCAATTTTTGTGATATGTTTTGAAAGATTGATTTCAACAACTAAAATTTTTTAATTAAAATGCATTTCATTTTATTGCATAATTAACCTGCTTGTTCAAAAAAATATCGTACGACGGATGCTATTCCACGTGGTGCCATATAATCAATTTTATCTGGATTTTCACGCATACCAATTGTATTTTGTTTATCAAGTAATTCAATAACATGATCATCGATTAATTGTTGAAAAAGTCTAATCTTAATATTCATTTAACTTTTTTCAAGAATAAATTAAATTTACTTTGTTGTTGTACTGTTTGATTTAGTTAATGTTAAATATTGAGCACCCATATCAATAAAACAATGATGATTTCCTTCGCTATCACAACTAGTTGTCATTCGACCACCTTAAATAATCAGAAAAATAAAAAATAAAAAATTAATTTAAAAAAAAAGTAAAAACTTCATTTTTTTTTACCAACGCTTTTGTCTTTATCGAAGACAATAAGTTTTATTGCAGGACCATATTGACGACGAAGTAAAAAAGATATCAAAGCATTTGATATACCAGCACCGATTAGAATAACTCTCATATTTTATATTAAGATTCTTCTACACGTTGTGCACTCTTTGACTTATTGATATAAATCAAATAACTGACGACAAGGACAATTGCAGGTGAAAAGGATACTTATTATATAAAAGAAAAGTATCCCACAAATAAACTATTCGAAGTCCACCAGGCGAATCGATTCATCTATTGGTTTACGTTGTGCATAGATGTCACTTATATTAATTATATGTTCAATACAGTTCTGATAGTCTGCTAAGCGACTTGACCTCTCTAGTTCAATGTTCATGGTAGATCTGAAAAGAAGTATATCAATCATTAATCTTTTAAAACGATGAGTAACAGTTCATGGCAACATCCATTTGTTAATATATTTAAACATTTTGATATAAGTTCATCTAAAAAATGTATCAAACAAGGAGATGTTTCAACAGTCATAGTAAAATATCAATTTTTCACAAAAACAACAACATAAAACTAATCATTTTTGTTTTCTGTAATTAGGATCGTGATCTGAAATCAATTGTATATCGTATACGTGGTTTAATACCAGAAAATAATTATATTCAATTTCCATCTGAATCATTAAAACAAAATCTTAGTTTAACAGGTCATTTATTTTATATATTATTTCGACCAATATATGATAAATATTTTTGTATACATATTGATATTTTAACACATAAACAACATCTTATACGTATATCATTATCAAATTTATATCGTGAATTTAAAATAACACAAACATCTATTCAATTTCCTTATATGACAACAGGTACAGATATTCATTGGTCTGTATTATGTTTAAATTTACAAACAATTTTATTAACATATATGACAAATGAACATTATCATATGATTAAATCTTTTCAATTATGTGGAAATATGTTAGTTAAAAATTGTTTTACATCACAATTTTTATATGAACCTGGTATTGATAATGATACTGCTAAACGAACAGGTTTAATACGTGCTGGTATACGTTCATTACCACGTGAATTATCATATCCAATTGATAAAAGTGAATCTTGGCATGATAAATATGATTTTATTATGTTTCCAAATATGTCATCATTAATAGGTAAAAATCCAAGTGAATCATTTGATAAAGTTGGTAATGTACGTTTACCAACACCAAGAAAATTAAAAACAGATGAACAAAATTTAAATCAAATTGAACATGATGAATCATTTCCAGTGACTGCTCAGACAACACTTGTTAATGGACAAATTAGTAAATCAATAACTAATTTATCACATATTACACATAGATCTGTATCTCCAGGAGATAATCAGGTATTGTACTAATTGCGAAAATTAATTATGAAAAGTTTTATTCGAGCAATTAATCATAATCTTGTCTAGATATTTTTATGAAATACGATCTGAACAAAGTGTTGAAGTATAGACATATTAAAGACTGTATATCAATAACATCTCATTATAATATATGAACGACTTTCTTATTACATTACTGGAAGATTAAGTAAAAGGATGGCGAAGAAATGTATCTCATGATAGGATAGAATAAAACTATCTCTCTATGATTAGCAACACTAGCTACATCGTATTTTACATTTTAATCCCACAATGATTACGCAAATAATTTTTATTTTTATTTAGCTCAATTGGCGTACATATAATAATCCAGCTGATCGTTTTCCATCATTACCTACTATAAATGATTCTTCTAGTTTATCGCATAATAATAATAATAATAATGATGCTAGTATTCATCTATTTGTTAATCCACAATCGATTCAATCATCATGTTCAATGACTGATAATTCTAATTATGATCTTGCTTTAACAATTGATCATTCTCAACAATCTCGTCATTGTACAACTCTTCTTCCAGATCCAATACTTCGTTTACAAACTGTTATTGGTCTAAGTAATGGTTTTAATAATTTATTATGGACACAAGATAATAATTATGTAATTTATTCATCAAATGCTATTGTTGTTCAAATGCATATTGAAACACAACAACAATGGTTTTTTATTGGACATACAGATAAAATAAGTTCTATTGCGTTTAATAGTAATCTATCATTATTAGCAACGATACAAACAGGACCTAATGGTATAGAATAAAGTTTTATTAAAATATTTGATATATAATACTGATCAAAAATATAAAATCAAAGTATTTTGGATTTTTTTCTACGATGCCAAACATTTAACTCAAATCAAAATAGTGGTTGGGATAGCTAATATGAAGTTCTCTATTAAATACATTACATATCGCAATTTTATAGATCGACTTTGAATGGGATGTTTCTGAAAAACCAAACATGATAGTTTTCAGGTCCTAGAAGAATGTGCGAAAATTTGTTTTTTGTTAAGAGTAATATCTTAAAGAGCACACAAACCTGAGTAAAATAAGAGGTTACTGCATTGCATACTACCTTTTCTTGATAAATTATAAGCATCGTAAAAAAAAAAACAATATGATTTTTAGCTATCCTATGATAAATTTCGTTTTTCATGTTTTATGAAGCTTAAAACTTATTAAGGGAAAGTCGTAGGAAATGTGACAACTTCTTATTTTATTTAAGACATTGTACTCTTTAAAATAGTACTCTTAAAAGGTAATTTTCACGCAGTATTCTAGGATCTGAAAACTACCATATTTCATTTTTCAGAAACCTTTCTCTCACAATTCATTTATGAAATTTGGGTATGAAATGTATTTCAGAGAGAGAACTTCATTAGCTATTTGAATTTCAATTAAATACTTGATATTGTAATTAGAAAAAGAAATCCAAAATAGGTTGGTTTTATATTTTTGACCAGTACTCTAAATCCATCTATATCGTATATATATATATGTTGTCTATCTTAGCTATTCTTCGTTTATGGAAATTTGAAACTCGTCGTTGTATTTGTGCTATCCGTGTTCTTAATACATATGATTTACATACACTTGATTTTGGTATAGGAAATTCTTGTTCATCTCTTGTTGTTGTTGGTCATGATGAACAGTTGCATACAATTATTTCTGTATATAATCTATTAAAGATATCTAAAGATTCAATTGAATTAATATGTCAAGCAATAACAAATGTATCAATAACACATATACGTTTTATTCCCTATGATACAACTAAATTTATATCCATTGGTTTAGATAATATACATATATGGCATATTAGAAATGAAAATAATTTAAAATCAATAAATATAATAGTAAATGATATTAATCATTTAGAATATACTGATTTACAATTTCAACATTTATCTAATAATAAATTAAATGAATCAATTATTTATATAGCAACAAAATCAGGTCATATATTAGAATTATTATATAATGAAAAACGTATAATAAAAATTCATAATTTATTTAATAAAATTAATATGAATCAAAGATTATCATTTAGTATATCTGCATTAATATGTACAAATAATTTTTTTATAACAGGTTCTCATGATGGATATATTCGTGTTTGGTCAATAGATTTTTCTCAAGTCTATATTGAAGCTAAATATGATCAAACTATTTCTAGTTTAATATCATCATATGATCAAACACGAATATTAATTTTAACGTTATCTGGATCACTTAATATATTAAATCTTATTACTAAAACACATTTAAATTTAATACATACACATATTAAATCTATTACTGATATTGATTATGATGATACAAGAAAACAATTAATTAGTGTAGGACAAGATGGTACTATACGAATATGGTGTTTTCATACGGGTAAACAATTATCAGAATTTACTTCAGAAAAAGAAATACCATTAATTGTTACATATACACCAAATCGACAAATATTTGCTTGTGGATTTAATAGTGGAACAATTAAAATATTTGATTTGAATACATCAATGATATTGAATGAAATCAAGTGAGAAAATGTTTTTTTCGACTATAGAAAAAATTATATTAAACATAATAGTTTACAATTATGAATTAATACGTGCTGTTATAAAAAGAAGTGATATAAAAAGACAATAGGAATTCTATAGTACTAATTTTTGTAGCAGACTTTAAGCTACTCGCAAATGTTGTGTTTCTACAGAACTTTTGCTCTTACAAATGTCCGTTACTACCGATTGCTGAGTCTGAATATTAAATCCAGTAGTTAATTATGTTTGTAAAATCGAACTTTTAGTAATAGGTAATAAACCATTAATTCATTGTTATTAAAGTACAGTAATTAGAAAATTAATAACTATGAGTTCGGATTTCTCATCGATTTTAAGTCATAGGTCATAAAAATATCACGGCGACTTTAACGCATATAAAGAAAGCTGTTTGAGTCGCAGATAGCATGCATTGCAATAATAAAAAAATTGTTGTTATTCAATTTAAAAATCATTTAAGCAAAAGAATAAGTTCGATTGAAAATATAGGCTTATGATCAACAAACCGAAAATCAAACCAATGGTCAGAAGAGTTTGTCCCGTAAGTAAATCATCTACTATTTGATTGATTTTACAAGTAGTTCTATCATCGATTGTTTGGTACGTATGTTGTTTGCTAACGACAAACACTCCTGACTAAATAGTCTTCATAGAAAATCATAAAAAATAGGCACTTTTAACACAGAACATTGTTCAAAAAATAATAAAAAAATTCATCAATGAATTTTTGACAACATTAAATTATTTATTGTCGAAAATTTACTGCAAAAGTCAATACGGAGAAATTCATATTACCCATATGAACAGATCAGAGTTATGACAACTGACAAAACTTCATTCTGCATATCGTTAATCGCAACTCCTTAAATACGAAACTACATAGTTATTATAAAGTTTATCATCATGTAAAAAATTAATTGATTTCAGTGGTTATATTCTTATAATTCGAATTGAATTATACTGTATTCAAACTATTTCTTTATGAATAAAAATGAACAGCTTAATTTTTTTGTCAAAGGGAATCATTATATGACTATTTTTATTATCTATCAAAAAATGATAACATTAAAAAAATAGGTAGATGACTTTATTGAATTTTCTAACGCAACTTAATCATATGCGATTGTATAATTAAATAGTAGAGATCATTTTCAAGTTACAAATTAGATATATTAGAAGAAATAACTTCAATAAATACGCATTACTTTTTAGGCATCATAATATAAGTATTATTGGTTTACTCTATTCTCATAATGGATCATATTTATTGAGTAGTGATGAAGAAGGTAATTTATGTTTATCAGATGCTAATGATAATTATAAATTACAAAAAACAATTGCTAAAACTTTAATAATATCAGAAAAAGGACCAATCCCATTATCAATTAGTTCAGATGGTAATTATGCAGTTTATATTGGACCTACAAAATTCATTATTACCATTATTGAAATAAATACTCTTAATCAAACATTACGAATTGATATAAGCAATTGTATATTAATGACAAATGATCAACAAACAATAACATCATCAGAATCAGCATTATTTGTACGTTTTACACCGAATCGATATATATTCGTTGCAACAACAAATTTTAAATTACTCAAATTTGATTCATACACCGGACAACTATTGAATATTGTACGATTGAATATTTTCTTTCTATTTAATTAAATTTATATTATAGATTGACAACATTCATAAACATTCATTTGATAATCTAACTTTATCTTCAAATAGTCAATATTTGATAACTAGTGGTGATGGTATATTAAAATTTTGGGATGCTAATATGAAATTAGATATAAATTTTCAAGTAAATTTTATTTGTTTAAAAAATAAAAAAGAAAATTTTTCTATAAATTTCATTCTAGAATTTTATTGGTCATTCTGAATCAGTACGAAAAATATTTTTTACTGATGATAATATGCATATTGTAAGTATTGGAGATTCAATATTAATATGGAATGTTCTTGCTTGGAATACATTACAACCAATAATGCCAAAGTAAGAAATTTTATTTCATCAAAAAAAGAAAACAATGTAAGTTCTACATAGCAAAATTATTTTAGTAATGCACAATGTATTGTTTCTCCACAATTGATAATGACAAAAAGTAAATTATAAGAATATTAAAATTCAAGAAAAAAAATTTTTTTCTTCTTAAGTTCTTGAACATACATTAGTTCGATCAAATTCAGATCAATCAAGAAATTCATCTGAATTATTTCATAATTCTCAACGAACGAATGAACATGCTATTACACGTTCATTATCAAATTTAGAAATTGATAAAACAATAACTAGTTTTCAAGAAGAAAAGTAAATAATTGACTTTTATTTTCTATTTAAAATTATGATTATAAATTTTTTTTTTTAAGAAAAATTATTAATAAGAAATTACTAACAAAACAAATTGATAATGAATATTTTTCTTCTCCATTATCTATTCGACGTCATTTTATTCAACGAATTAATCATTCACAATTAGCAAAAGTAATTTTATTATTTTCTTTTCAAAATAAATAAATATTTTTATACATATTTAGAAACGATATATAGCACCAATTAATCAAGAAAGTTTAAAACTTCAAACAATTATTGGTTATAATGGTAATGGACGTGAAAATCTTGTTTGGCATCCACATACAGGTTTTTTTGCTTATACTGTTGGTTGTAATATTGTTGTAGAAAATCTGAATAGTAATCATCAAACTATTTTAACTGGTAAATCAAATATAATGATTCATATTTCAAAATTTATTATAGAATTTGTTTTGTTTTTTTTTCTCTCTTTGAATAGGACATACAGAAGAAATATCCACTTTGACATTATCAAATGATGCAACAATTTTAGTCAGTGCTCAATGTTCAATATCAATAAAGAAAGAAGAATTACAAGTAAAGATTATTATTTGGGATACAAAAATACTTCGACAAAAAACATATTTTTATGCATCAGTTCAAGCAATTCAATCAATGGCTTTTTCGAAGTAACAAAAATCAAAAAGATTTTTTTTTTATGTTATATTTTATTTGTTTATAGAGATGATCGTTTCCTTCTTACAATTGGCAATTATCGAAAACCAATGGTTAGTCTATGGTCAAAAACAAATCATATACATTTACTTAACTGGCAAGATGTATGTTCATCATTTTATATAAATTGTCTTGCTTGGAATCCAACACGTACTAATGAATTTTGTCTTGGTGGTTCACATGGTTTTATTCGTTTTTGTACAATTAATGAACAAACAGATGATAATAAATTACGTTTAGAAGTTGTTAATGGACAAATTCCATTATTATTAAATGAACATACAAAAACATCATGTGATATAACGGCATGTGTTTATTTAACATCAATTGTAAATCTTGTTTTATGTGCAACAAATAATGGTTTAATAACATGTTGGAATAGTCGTTTATGTTTATGTATTTTTCATTGGAAAGCTGATTCAAATGAAATATGTTATATATCAACAACAAAGTATAAATTATTGACTGGATCATCAATAGGATGTTTGAAATTATGGAATATAGAAAATCTTGAAACAAATTTAGGACAATTAAATTCAATTGATTCGTAAGTTTAAAATAGAATTTTTTAAAATATGATTCTGCCAAATAATACAAGATTCTAGAATTTCCATTATTTCTTCTATATTAAGAATAGCTTATTTGTTTTATTTCTTTTAGAAATTATGATTTAAAATTGCTCGATGAATTTCAATTAGATGATGGAATAATAAGTGGATCATTTGATAATGTATTCGATATGGGTATTATTGGTACATTATGTGGATCTCTATGGTATATTTGTTGGACAACAGATCGATCAATAACTCGTCTTGTTGCATCACATACAGATAAAATAACTGGTTTAATTCCTATTGAAGATACTCATATTGTTACAAGTAGTCTTGATGGTACAATAAGAATTTTTCAATTAAAAGATCGAAATGAAATTCTTCGTTTTAATACAAATGGATTAGTATGTTTTGATTTCTCATATATAAATATAATTAGACATGCACTGAATCAGAACGTTCGGTCTTGACTGTGATCATTTTCAGTGAATAAATAAAAGCAAATAGAAGTAAAAGAAAACTCTAACAATCACTTGGGCTATTACTAAAATATCCGATATTGTCTGAATTGATTGGATAGTTTCCAAACTCGAACGCCGAGCCAGTATTCGAATTCGGTGCATGCCTATATATCATTTCATTTTTTTTTCCTTAAATTCTTTAGCAAGTAACTTGTTTAACATCATGGGATAATTCTATTGTATTAACGAATGATTCATCTCATACAACAAGTTCTATGAAAAATATAAAATCAACTACTATTCAATCAATTGTTGCTGGATATAATGATGGTACAGTACGAATTTTTAATATATTACATGAACAAATGCAACTTAAATTACAACCACATACAACATCAATAACAACAATTCATATTCCTTCGCATAGTTTGTATTCAAAAAACAAAAAAAGAATTTCCTAGAATAATATTATGAATAATTTTAGCAATGATTTGTTTATCTGGTGCATTGGATGGTTCTGTTACAATATCAAATTTAATGCAAGGTATTATCTTACGTGTACTGAAGGAACATTATAATACAGTACCAATTTGTATTATTGATTCAAAAAAATTCTTAGAAAATAATTTTTATATGTGGCTAATTGCTAGTCATGATCGACGTATTAGTTTATGGAAATCAAATCAACAATTTGATTTATGTCCATTTATTGATTGGTTGATATTTTCTACATGTCATAAAAAAAATGCTTGGCAATTATCTCCACCAAGTTTAGCACGTTTTATTGATACTAATTTAATTATATATACAGATTATAATATTGATCAATCTATAAAAATATATAATATTGATAAAAAACAAATAACACGAACAATATTATTAAATCAATTATGTTCATATTTTGATTTATCAAATATGAAAAATAATAATTATTTAATAGCTATTGGTATAAAAGATCGTTTAATACAATTAAAAGATTATACTCAGGAAACATTTCAAGATTTTATTGGTCATAATGATATAGTATCAAATATAAAATTTAATAAATCAAATGATTTATTAATAACAATATCATCAAATGAAATATTTGTTTGGAAAATAATTTTAAATTAGATGTTAGAATTTTGTTTCTTTTTTGTTTTTTTGCTTTTTACTTAATAATAAAAAACGAAAAGATTTAACTTTAAACTTTATTTCCTGTTTGAGATAAATGTCGAACAATATCAACCCAATCATGACCACGAGGTCTTTGTCCATCTTCACCAACAACTCGATGATTCCATTGACGACGTTTTTGCGATTTAGTTAATTGTTCTTTTTTTATAACTGGTGCATTCGATACAGGAAGAGTTGTTGTAGTTGACGATGGTACTGTTGCATTTGTATTCGTTGTCTAAAAACAAAAACAAAAAAGAAATCTTCCGTATAATCTTTATGAAATTAAAATGTAAAACACTATAGAATTAAATTTATTTTACAAGAGAATTTCTCCAAATGATAAATCGCTTGTTACGTCGAGACTATGTGTATTATATAGATTCAAATGAGCTATGAGTACTCCAAAAAGAGTTCAGACCTTTAGCTTATTGTTGTGGAGATACTGCAATTTTATTGTATCTTTTAGATGTATGCTGTAGTAATAGAAAAACTGCTTTTCGAATTTTGACTTGAAATTTTGCATAGAGATAGACCTTAACGAAAATAGTTTATTGTGAATGTTTCAGATCTTGTCGCTGTTTCTATCGTAAGATACAATTATGGTGATAGTCTGTCTTTTACATCGCTCATATAAACCAACAGATCTGATGTTTTCTTATTTCAGGAAAGAAGTCGAAATTCGAAAATCAGTTTTTCTATTTCTATGGCATTCATTTATAAAATGTTTTATTTCTACACTAATAAGCTAAGAATCCAAACTCTTTTCAAAATATTCATAGCTCATTTGGATCTACATAATGCACATAGTTTTCACTCAAAAAATGATTTCTTAATTGAAGGACTTCTTTTGTTAATCAAAGATATTTTAAGTCATATATAAAAAAAAAACAAAAGACCAAATATATTTATGAAAATACTTACTAAATTAGTTTGAAAAATATTACCATCATATGAAAAATCTTTAATTGACTCGAATAGAGTATACGTCATTGGCATACCCAATTGTTCGTTAGCCTAGAAATAAATATTTTCAATTAAATAAAAAAAAGACTTTGATCATACATCGTTTGTTAATTTTTCTATAAGTTTAGTTTTGAAATCATTTGTTCTAAAAGTAATAAGAAACAATTGAAAGAAAAATAAAAATTTTTTTCACTAAAATAAACTTACAAAAGACGATTACTAAATAAATCAAGATTAATTTTAGGTATTACATTTGGATAATCATCAGGCCAATGAATTTCAACCAAATAAAAACGATCATTATCAATTATAAACTTTTATTTAAAAATATGAAATAAAAAATTTATTTAGAAATGTTTTCATTTCAATCAAACATACATTCTAAGCTCACTTTGTATTGAAATGTATTATTATTCACAGTAGAAAAATTTGGATCTGATTCATAAATCGATTTGAGTACTTCGAGTTCTTCCTAAATTTTAAGAATAATTACTAAATATTCACTTTAACAAATAATTACTTCATTCATTATTGGATTTTTACCAAAAAAAATATCAATATTTTGTTTATATGTATCGATTAAATTTTTTTCTCTATGTCATTCATAAAGAGATTTTTAATAGGTGAAATAAAAACCAATGTATATATATATATAATAGATGGAGGGCGTACCTAGTTGTGTAAAAAGTACAAGTTGCACATATCAATTGATTATAAATTTCAAGTCGATCTATGAATCTTGCAAATTAGTCCGAATACTGCAGTCTTGTTTTTTTTTCTAGTTTTGAAATATAATTTGTGTATCGCTTTCAGTAATGACATTTTTAAAAATCGTTTTATCAAAGATTTTTTTTTGGAATGTATAGATGTACATTTCAATTGTACTTGCTAATTTGTATCTTGAGAAATAAAATGATTCATAAAGAAAAATTGACTTAGTACGTTTGTAAATTATTCTTCCAAAATGATGCATTTTGTGTATGTGAAAGAAAATGTGTTTTGAGGTATGTTAAAAAGACAAGATTCTTTAATGTTTATTTTAGATTCATTGTTAATTGGTAGACTTTCATCAAAGAGATTTTA